AGCATCCAGCATCTCCTCTAGACAAGGACTAGACAATGTTCCCTATTTTGAAGAAACTTTGCCAAGTTGATCAGATGATGTACTTTGGATCACGGCTGTCACAAAACCTGCACGTCCCGCCCGGGCAGTCAAGCCCTTAAATGGCCTCTGAAAAAGCCCTGCGCTCCCTTTCTCCTGGAGTCCCTCTTCTGCCTCCCCACCAGCCCAGTGAGAAAAGTGAGCCTTTTCTTTTGATTACACTGAGACCACTGATGCTCTGTGGTGTTAAGTCCCCCTCTCTTTGACCACCTGCCCCCATCAAAATAGAGAAAAACCCTAGGTTCCTCCTTTTGGGTTTTGTCATTGAAGGCCTTCTGGAGTTACCATGTGCCCTTGGGGAAAAAGTCATAGCGAACAGAAAATGGATAGACTGGCCCAGCCCAGAAATGAGGCTCCATCAAATTGTACCTTTTGCAAAATCAAAAATGGGTGTCGTATTCAGGCTCTACCTGGTCAGAAGGAAAGCAAAGCCCTGGGCCAGTTTCTGTTGCTACAAGTTGGAGAAGGGCCCTAGCTGTGATGAAGAGCTCAGGCCCACCCTGGTCCAACGAGGCTTCCTCCATAAGTGAGGTTTTATGCCCAGGCTTGCAGGAGCCCTGTGTATGGGCCACTGCTTCCCAAGAAATGTGGACACTAACAGGAAAGGCTGTGACCAACCCTGAAAAATATTTCAAACTGTGTTACAAGCTAACCCTGCCAGAGAGAGGGCCCCTACTCTGCTTTCTGCATGGGCCTTAAGACTCTTCAAAGCACTCAATTAAGAAATGCAGCTTCTATAAAACTCGGAGCAGACTATTACCACGCAAACAGCTGCCATATGATTAGAAACACAGGAACTATTCTGAGGAAGGGATGCTTGGTGCAATTAATCTCTTCCTTTGTGTTCCAAGCATGGTTCCCAGAAAATGGAGCAAGGGAACAGCTTGTGTTGTTTTATTTTCAAAAATACAACTATAAAATAAATACACATTCATTGTAGAAAATGTTTGGATATGCAGAAAATTACAGAGAAAGTAATCAGATTTATTTATAATCCCAGCATTCAGATATAGCAGCCCTTTTGGTGCTTTATGATGTGTTTTGGTACCACATTTCTTCTGCTTTGTGAAAACATAATTGATATCATATTTTATATGGAACTTTGAAATCTGCTTTTTTTTTTTTTGGCTTAACATTGGCTAGTAATCATTTCACATGTTATTTTTTAAATCCTTATATTTTAGTGGCTGCACAGTATTCAATCATATAGATATGACACCATTGATTGACAGTTTCCCAAAAAGTGATTCTGTGAGAAACATCTTGAGTCTCTGTTTTTGCATTTCAGATCATCCTTTGAAGATAGTGTTCCAGCAGTGGTATTGCCTGTGAAGGGTAAATTCTGTAGCTAATTAGACAACATAACAGCCATCTTCACTTAAAGTTATGTCCTTTCGTTTTACCTTTAAATATATGTTGCCAAATATTAATGTTTTAAAAATTAATGTGTTGCCAAATATTAATCAAGGAAATTGCTTTTGATAGCTTGTAACTCTTAGAAGGCTTTTCTGAGTTACAAAATTGAGTTTTTTAAAAAAGAATCCTAATCCTAGGAAAGTACTTCAAAATGTTAACTGTGTTTATCTTCAGGAGATGGAACTTGAGTTTAATTTTTTTTCCTGCTTTTCCTTTTACTGCAGTTGGTCAAATTTTCTATAATGTGGCATTTCTATAATGCCACTTTTACAATGTTTCATAACACAATGTAACAGTTTTTTAAAACAATGTGTGCTTTTCTCTTTTACTTTATAGAACAAGCCACTATAAATTATAAGCATTTTTTTACTCGCCCTCCTGCTTATTCACATTCACAGTTGAGAAAAACGTTTGAATTCCAGATCTTCATTTTTTCCAGAAAATAACTTGATTGGACTCAAGCAAAGGAAACTGAACTTACTGATAAAAACTGTAAATTACATTTATAGAAAATACAATTATATCTTTAGTTCCACCTGTATGATTTGAGTGAATTTAAGGCTATTGTCTTTGTCAGTTCAGGCTATTAAAACAGAATATCATAAAATGGGTGGCTTATAAACAACAGACATTTATTTCTCACCATTCTGGAGGCCAGAAGTCCAAGATGAGAAAACCAGCACAGTGGGTTCTGGAAGAGCCTTCCTCCAGGTTGCAGACTTCTCACCATGTCATCACACAGTAGAGAGCAGAGAGGAGCATGCCCTGTCTTGTGAGGTTAAGGGTACTTATCCCATTCATAAGAGCTCCACGCTCATGACCTTATCTATTTCTAATTACCTCCAAAGGTCCCACATCCCATACCATCGCAGTGAAGGGGTTAGGGTTTCAACATATGGATTTGGTGGGGGACAGAAAATATTTCATCCATTACAGCTACTAAGCAACAAAGCTCATCTTTCCCCAAGATACAGCCAGGTATGTGTACACACACACACACACTCATACACACACTGGGTCTTTTAACACTCAGTCCATTTGATGCCACCTCTCCTGATACAGGAATATAGAAGCAATAACAGATAAATGGGCAGGTCCTAATCCCCTGATCCAAAGCAAGTACTATATATATTTTTTTTTCTCTTCCTATCACAACCATAATTTTTAATTCTTTTTTTATTCCATTTTTGTTTTTAAATGCTTAGACAGCAGAAGGGTTTGGTTCCTTTTTCACAGAAAAATATAGGCCCGATGTAAGTTGTAAACTGGGAAATGATGGGTTAATTTTAAAATAATCTTTGACTAGTTTGCATCATATAATTTTTATACCAGAATCATGCCACCCAGGGAGGAGGATATAACTTGGTTGCCAAGGGAACCCTTCCTGATTTGAAAAAATGAAATTAAACAATGTTCGAAGAAGCTATTAAAATATTTATTATTGTCATAGTTATTATTAATGATAATAAATAACAGAAGATAGCATCACAGGATTTTATAAAACCCCATGCACATAAAGTTTGGAAAAAAGGGTTGACTCAGGCAAAAGGCTTCTCTTGGCAGGAAAAAAGAAAAGTGGAAGACTAAGAAAATTCTGTGGAGGAAATAGATGTTTCTATTAAAAGAGAGCAGGAGAAAAAGCAATTACAACAGGACATATATATAGGAAACTGCATGTATTATATTTCTATTATTATTAATATTTTTCCCTGAAAGGCTAAAATATTGCAAAAGGCTTTTAATGCCTGAAGTTGCAGGGAAAAAATATACTTATTTCTAAAGCCTCAAAGAAAGAAGGATTTTGAGAACAAGCATAGTAATAAAAAATTTTGGCCCTATAAATGAAATCAGATATACTAGTTTTCCTTTTTAGTCTCAGTGAGGAAAACCAGACCTAAATTAAATACAGTTTGTAACAGTTGAGGTTTAGCTAATAATGCTCTTAAATGTGTACCTGGGCATTTGTATTTCTTTAAATCTTGTTCTATATTTTATTTCATTGTTTTTACTTACGATTAGATGCATTATTTTTGTATGACATTATTTTTAATGACATGAGTCTCTAGAGAAAAAGTTTAATTACTTGGGTTCTAACATGATTTTTCTTTTATGCATAATTAGTATAAGCCTAGGTTTAAAAAAGTCTATAATCAAAAGCATAGTGTTCACCTGGTGGAAACTATCCAAATCTTAGGCATAGGGCCAAAAAGAAGATATTCACTAAAGGGTTATAATGACAAATGCAAATCTAGTAATTAAAAGCAAACTCACATTAGCTTAAATACTTCATGCCACACTTAATGCTTGCTTCTTCTGCCTCTGTTGCCATGGAGATGAAGAGCAGCTGGCAAGCTGTGTATCTGTGGTTCCCAGCTAACCATGTCTGCACATCAGAATCACCTGGGGAACTTCTAAAAGTATAGATTCTTCTAGCTCCACATCTCCCTCCCTTGAAATTCTGATTCAGTATATATATATCTACTTCGTGGATATTCAACTGCTTTTTTCTTATTTGTTAAAGATTGGTTTTCTCCAAATTATTTTCTGACTCACATTGCCTTCAGTGAATTTAAAAAAAGTATGAGTAGTCTCTGACATTTTATAAAACTCTAAGAGGTGTAGTTTCCCAGATGTTTGAACTAATTCAAATCTTTTTTCAAAAAATGTGGGTTTTGATAAGGTTTTGTATAATAGATCCTGTGGCAGCATATTATCAGAAAAATTCTGCTGCTTCACTCTTTCCTGGTTCAACCCTTTAAGCAACAAATATCAATGATTGCAAGGATTCCCTGAGCCATTTATAACAGAAAGGAAATTTGATTGCCTATTAATTGCCTTGCTTTTCTGGCTGTCTGACCAAAATAGAAGGGTCTATGAAGACATTTTCCATTCTTTCCAATTCTTGCCCTTATTTGCAGACAAAAAAAATGAGGTCCCAGGAGAGTATGTGTAAGTGTGCCCATCTAGGGGGAAAGTGGGGAAAGAGGCAAACGGGAGTAGAATGCCCTCTGGAAAGGCAGATCAGCAATCCCGATCTTGTACCAGGTATCCCTCTTTTACCATACAAATGGAATTTCCCCATGAATGCTTCAGATTGAACCTGTAAATACAATAGAGGTAAACACCAACTGGAGATTGTTTACCCAGCAGGAGAGAGCACATTGAGAGTTTATAACTTGTATTGAGGATTTAGGAACTCATTGCTATTTTTATTTGTCTACTGGGCTAAGTAAATAAGCAGCCAGCATCTCAGAGACTAATGGTATTAGCATCACACAAAGACACTGAGCACAGTTAAATAAAAGAATGAAGCTAAGTCCATAAATGTTTTGTGCACCCCCCCCAAAGAGGTGCCACAACCACCTATTTGAATGACTTCAAATTAGACTTTTTAAGGCATATCCATCTCAAGTCTACTCAAGGGATCAAGCTTGGCAGACAAGATGGTGCCCTGTTCTTTGGGTAGAAAGTGCCTCAATTGCACTCAACAGCCCTAGAGGAAAAAGAAACATGACGGGAAGTGAGTTCATCCAGGAAAGTGTCCTAATGAGTGGTTTTCTCCTCTTCATCCTCTAATCCATCCCCCGCTTCAACTTGGCTGGCATTGTCAGGGGGTTTGGAGAGGTGCCACTGCCGGAAGAGCGGTATCTGGAGAGCTCTCTTCACACTTCACATTATCATCAATGGTCCTTTCACAAGATTCCCCTCTCATAAGGCTAAATGTCTCTTGACTCCTATTGAACCCTGGGTAAGCTGCCTTCCTGCAGCACGCCCATCTATGTAAAATGCTGCAAAGAGGATATAAGCAGTATAAAATCTTGATAGAACAAAATAAAATGTGCACCAATGTGCATCTGATAGATGTAGCAATTGATTTGTGGATTAGGTTTTTATTTTCAGCCCATTGAAAAGAAATAATGTATGGAGGCAATCTAGTACTAAGCATTTTAGAAAATCTATTTGAGATCATTTCAGCAGAAGCTCTGGCAGTTTGTCATAAGAGGGGAGGAGAGCAAAGGATAATTGTCTGCAGTCTAGTAAAACACAGAATAACTGCCATCACACTTGAGTGAGCTTATAGCCAGCCGGTCCCAGGGCCTCCAGAAGATAGAGCAGTTAATGTTCCCTTTTATTTCAGAGGTTATGTCACTTGTATCACAGATTTATACCATGATACAGCAATTTCATCCAAACAGATGGATAATGATGTCAAAGGCAGAAACCCTGTTTTTATTGAGTTTTGCAAAGATTGCTCAGATAGCGGCTTCAATTGAAAAGCCCCAGCAGTGCTTCAGCTCTTAATCTTTGTAATCTCAGTGGTATTAAATTTCATCATTTTTGTTTGAAGGAGGAAAATTCAACAGTAATGGCTTCCTAATAGGAAACACAGAAGCTGCAAAGCTGGGGGCTCTCGGTGCGGCTGCTCCATAAGCACTGCTGATTTATAGGGCTGTTTATGACAGAAAGGAAAATTATCTTCTGCAGGTATAAATCAGGTAAAGAGTAGGAAATTGAACTTAGATATCATCTTGTCAGATGCTTAATGTTCTTCCTCCTGTCACTTTGGATAGGCCCAATTTGTAGAATACTGCAGAGGTAAAAGAAGACAATTAACAGTGACAGGATAGTAATAGATGAAGCTATAAAACCAACCTGCTGGTGCTGGATGCTATGTATGATTTTAAGATGAAGTGGTGCCAAAAGTATATATTAGCTCAAACCAACCATTTCCTGTGTTCAGCAATACCCAGTGTGGCACTTGTTTGTCACTTTCATTGAGATCTACATACTCCCGTTTACATATTAATGAACCCATAACATCTCACCTTTCCTGAAAGTCAAAGGAGTTCCACCGCGGCGTATTTGTTGTTTACTTCCCAAAAACACAAGGATCATTTGCTTAAGGAGCAAATAAGGGGGTTTCTCGTTATGGTGATAACATTTCTGGCCAACACCCAGAGGAGACGTGGAGGCATAAACTCTCCAGTCCTTAGGAACCGAGGAAAGTGCAGAGGTCAGTCCCCGGTTTGGGGAAACGACACCAATGTGGTTCCCAACCCTCCTCTATGTAAGGACTCCAGAATCATCCTCAGAAAGCTAAAGCAGAGCTTATGTGACTGTCTCTGTGCCATAAAGGTTGGAAAGGTTAGAGTCCAGTTAGGTGGAAGAAGCTGGCTGACCTTGGGGCCGGGGTCACTAGTGGCAATTATCTGAAGAGGCTATAAACAACATTACGCGGAAACAAACTCAAGGACGATGGCCGTTTCAGGAGCTCTGTCAAAGCCAAGCTAAGGCTTGTCAGGGATCGAGGGCTTCTTGTCATGAATGCTGTTTGGTTTTGTTTTCCGTTTTTCATTTTATCAAAGCCTCACAGAACATTTGGTGTGACAGGGAGATTCTATTTAGAGAGCGTGAGGCATGGTGCCCCAAGGATCCTCTGTCTCCATATTAGGTTTCCACAGCTGGTAGAAGAGATTCAGTTACATGTTGGAACCTAGTCAGTAAATTGGCAGGTCCCAGGCAAAGGACATCAGAGCTGGAAATATCTAATCCCACTCTAATAGATGATAATAATATTCAAGAGAAAAATGAGTTGCCTGTATACAAGACAATAAGCATCCCAAAGTGGCCTAAGTACAGGATTCCAAAGAAAACCACAAACATGAGAAAGCTCTAAACCAGAGTTGCCTAAAGGAGACATTTCTAGAGGACTGTTGCAAGAGTGTTGCAATATACAGGGAGGAACATTACCACAGAAGGATGGAGGCCTGGATCTCAGCATACCCTCTTCTGAAATTTCAAGACTCCAGGTCTCCTGCCCAAAGAGCCTGCCTGTTAGGCACTCTACAGCAATCTGAAAGATGCCATGCAGCTTCAGAGGATTAAATTTGAACCAGTCAAAAATTGGAACCTGTGTTTTTCAGGAGATAATATTCTGCTGCTTGGGTCCTCAATCATTGCTCCCTGGTGAATAAAGATTAAGAACAAATATCAGTGTATTTGACATGTGGTTTTAAATCTATATATGTCTCATTTTGTAACTGTTTTCCTACCAAACATGTCATTCATCTGATATATGAACATCCTGATCCAGTTCCTGATATCAATAAACAAGGCAGGCAGTGTCACAGTGGAAATGGCCTGGCCACGTTAGCACAGGTGCAAACAAGGGGAACTGGACAGCTGACGTCAACACCAGTGAGTCCCCCACTCAGGGCTGGTGAGAACTGTAGACAGCTCTGGGACAAAGGCCAGGCACTGGATGATGCATGTAAGAACAAGAAACAAGAGGGGCCAGGCAGTTACCCAGGACTGGTCTTCTGTCGCTTGGCTCATGAAGAACAGGAGACAAGAGTGAGTGGTGACATGGAGGGTGGAAGAGCCCTGCTGGTGTCCAGCAGGAAGGCATAGTGTCCCATCTGTGCTGAGGACAGGCATTTTAGGGACATATTCCATCATGCTATTTAAGGAAAATGAGAGTGTACATCCATATTGCCTTCTCCCTGCACTCAGTCCCTCCTTTTCTTTATCATCTACTGTTCCTAAGGCAAGGAGCATGAGTCATTCCACCTAAATTAGGTAGCCAGCCTGGTTACATGTATGCATTATTTAATATGTGAAGTTATCCTATCCATTGCACATTTTAAATTTAGCAAATTCTGCTCCTGATCTTCTATGTACAATGTACAGAAACGGCCTCCATTTAGCCTACTAAAGGAAAACCCACTGGAGGTCCAGGAAGAAAAGTGCAAATTACAGTGGATCCAAATCAAATTCTGAGTAGTTCACAACAGTACCATAAATGATGCTCAAACTGGATAATCATATCACACTCCATCCTGCATATGTCATTTTTAAAAGAAAAATGAATATTCATTTGTGATAAAGGTATAAAGATATCAGTCAGTGTATTATCCAAGATCCTCTTCATGAGACATCTTTCCAGTGGTAGCACAAGGAATAGCTGTGTGGGGAAACTGGTTTTGTTTTTTCCTATAGATATCATGAATTACATATCTTATCAGATTTTTTTCTCTTCTCACCAGCTGCAAGAAAGATTAGAGTCAAATTGGATACACTAAATATTACCTCTAGCAAGTATTTAGGTATCTGTAATAAGCACCTCATTCCTCGCTCCATTTTATTCCCCAACTATTTCTCTTTCTCACTAACTTTTAAAAAGTTACTTCTACTGTATATAAAAGGTTACGGGATCAGACATCATTACGACCATCTCAGTTCTGGAAACACAAAATTTGGGGTTATTAGAATGGGAGTATATGCTATAGCTAACACTATGGGGATGACTGACTTCACCAGTAAAAAGCATAAAAACGCAAGAGGAGGACCAAAAGCAATGTCAGCCACTAATAGTGGGGTGAGTGGAAGAAGGACAGCCATTGAAGGAGACCGAGAACGGAGCCAGAACTAGCAATGATGCTGAACAAGTGAATTTGCTGATGGGCCAGTTGGAGTGCCCCGTGTCTACAGTGCTACTGCAGGAGGGCAGTAGAGAAAGGACATTGAGCTGGGCGTTAACTGAACATTCGTGACTTTTGCAAGGGTATTTGCAGGAAATTCTGAAGGTAGAAGCCAGACTCTGGAGTTAAAGTGGAGGGGGAAGCATCAGGAATAAAATTTTCTTTTTCAGATACTTGGCTAGGAAGAGGAGGGAATGAGGTAAGTGTCAGAGAGGCAGGATGCAGGAAAGATTCTTTGAGTATGTCAAAAGCCTGAGTTTCTGGGCTAGATAGAAAAGTGCTAGTGAAGAAGAGATGCTGGAGGAGACGAGAGAGCGAAGGGGGAAACTGGGAAGAGAAAAACAGATGATACAGTCTTGAGACAGAGGCTGAGACAGTCTTGAGACAGAGGAGATGTAATCAGAGGAAAGGATCATCTCTAGAAATCCATCAGGTCACCAGGGAAAAAAGACCAGTCTAGCAAGTTATTTGACACAGCATGCCTGCATTTTTAAAATGTTTCAGCCTGCTCTGTTGCACTTTTGAAGACAGAGCCATGGTGACCTATTTAGAAGCCAGCCAATAGAAATAGTGGCTTAAGGTATTGTGTTTTGTTTTTTTAAGTTAATCATCCTGGAAAATTTCAGCAGTGCTTAGGAAAAATCTTCCCCTACCTTTTTTTTTTTGTTCTTTTTTCCTGTTTTGATGTAACCTTTAAAGTATTAGAAACACATTCTTTTTTAATACTAATGAATACCTAGATAAAATATTCTATGAATGAATACTTACTGTTTGTGGGGTGGAAAAATAAAGGTTTGCCAACAATGAACACTAGGGCTCCCAGACATGCACTTCCAGATCTCATGCCTTCAGATCCTCTCCACACAGGTATTATGTCCTCTGTGTTCATGGACAAGGGACTCAAGCTGAAACCAGAAACAATTCCAAGTTGTGCCCACATCCATCTCATATGGCACCTCCTGTTGGAAAAAAAAATGACCACCTGAATCATAAAAAATGTGCAGGGAAAATAAGCACTTTTATGCAACTTGATATTGTGAATACTTTCGTCTATGATTATTCACAATGAAGGGACTTCCTTGATGGCTCAAATGGTAAAGAATCTGCCTGTAATGCAGGAGGTTCAGGTTTGATCCCTGGGTCGGGAAGATCCTCTGGAGGAGGAAACAGCAGCCCACTGCAGTATTCTTGCCCAGAAAATCCCGTGGACAGTGGAGCCTGATGGGCTATAGTCTCCAGGGTTGCAGAGTCAGACATGACTGAAGCGACTGAGTGCACACATATACACACAGACACACACTCACAATGAAGGTACCTAGGACATCAGCTGTCCTCAGTTCCAAAATAGGCAGCTGGTCTTTATCCATACAAGCCTCACCGCTTTTTAATCTTATCACTGACACCTACTAGGAAATAGCATAAATTCCACATATTTCTTCCTGTTTTCAAATTTTCTTTTGACTTCTTAAGATCATTTGGATTCTCTATCCTTAACAATTTAAGTTAAAATCTAATAGAATCAGGAAATCAGAATTTCCAGTTCATCTTATAATAAAATTAATAGTTTAATAGGCTCAATTTTGCCAATAATGCAAAGATATGTTTTAAAATTAAGAATTCAGGAAATAAAAGGACTCTTTCCTGGTTACTAGACCCAGAGCTATATTTAAAAATATATTAAACTGATATTTTTAAAGTCAGAACTGATTACATATGGTCTACACATAAGCAAAAAGTTACATTTATTTGATTAAATAATTTTCTTAGGCAACTATAAGAGCAAAATTTCTACGTCCTGTTTGTTTTCAGGCAAACCAACATGTTCAATACACAAAAGTGCTAACTGACTGGGGAGGAAGGTGTATTAAGAGATTGCAGAGACCTGGCCTGTTCAGAGAATGCCTGATTCTAAATACAGCATTTGAACTGCAATTTGAAGGGCTGATAGGATTTCAACAAAACAAGAGTTGAAGGAAGAAATGCCAAGTAGAATGGCAGAGGCAATGCCAATGAGAGAAAATTGAAATGTGCATGTTTTTAGTCATCCTACCAAAAACTGGTCTTCTGTCATCTGCTAACCTCTAAAATATGTAAATGAAACACAGTACATACTCTCAAAGTTGCCCCCGGGACACAGGAAGAGCAGCATCAGCAACCCCACAGCCCACAGCAGTAGGTCTGTGTTTTCTGCCTTTCGTGTGCTTTAAGCAACCAGAAGAACGAAGCCGGAGCTCTGGCTTTGTTAGAGATTGGCATGTCAGGAAAGTAGGAGAAAAGCCATCCCAGCAGAAAGAACAGCATATGCAGACACACAGACGTTTTTCCTGTAGTTTCTGTTTCCAATTATGTAACTGTAAGGAGAAGAATAACAACATCTAACTCATTACATTTGTCAGGTACAGGTATTAAAACCTCATTGAGTCTTTAGATATGCCTCTGATGAAGGTACTAACTCCATTTAACAGATGAGGAAATTGAGATACAGGGGATATGTAACTTGCCCATGGGCACAGAGCCAGATAGGAGGATTTCAACTCAGGGTGTCTGGCTCCAGAGCCCACATGCTTAACTGCAGTGTCACCACAGATAACTTATGTCGTGAGGTCAAGGAAATGTGGGAGATTTGCTCTAACCAATTCTATAGTTGGAACAGCTGTATTTTTCAAGCCCTAAAAGTTTTCTGGATAGCAGCCATCCTTGAACACGCATTGAGCCCTTAAAACATTCTATTCAACATACTACCACCTCTGTGCTTAGGGCTCTTCTATTTCTGGTTGGAAATTGTGATGGACTGCTATCATATTTTCTTCTGCAAACCTCCCTTGTCTTGAGAACCTCTCCCCACTGCTACCTAGTGGGGACTGCCATGTTCTTGCATGAGACGTTTGGTCACTACTGATGGATCTAGAGGTGTGCCTGTCTGTGGGCTTGACTGAACTACAGCTGAGAAGTGACAGCTGATAAAACTAATGGCAGGAGCTATGAGATACAAGGCCTGGCATCATCAGCCATGTGTTCTCAGCCACACGGAAGACATCGCTCTACAACAGTGGAGAGCGAAACCAACAGTCAGAAAGAAACACGTTTGAGGGCTGGAGAGAGCAGGTGCTCTGAGGGCACTTAAATGTCTAGATCCTGTTGTCCCTAAGTCTAGCCACATAGCTCCCCCACCTGAATTTAGGTAATATAAGATAAACCTATAACCTTCCAAAACATTCCCCTCTTTCTCAAACCAGCTGGAGTTCTACCACTTGCAATCAAAAAGTTACTAACACAAGCATAAAGAATTAATTTACATAAAAATACTTAGAAACCCTTTATAAACAACTGGCAAACAAGGGCTGCTGTGTCACTACGTAAAATATCATTTACATATACACAATAGTAGGAAAAGTGTGAGCGAGCGGGGACCCTTTTCTCAAGGTAGTGATTGGCAACAGATAATTTAGTTCATGTTGCCAAGTGGTTCAACTTCATAGACTCTATTGAGACCATCCCTCTCTGATGCCAGAAATTTTAGGGCTAGGTGATCCTATGTGCTTTAAAGCATGGCAGCTTTCTGAGCACTCAAAGACTCTGGAGGAGATGCATTTCTAAGCCAAAGGTACACAAGTTATGACTCCACAGTAAAGCAACTGATTTTTAAATAAATATACTAAAGTCTAAAGACCAAATGTGTGCTTTTTCATTTAAAGCCATCAACCTAGGACCACACACTTAGTCTGTGAGGCTGTCTCAAGGCAGCATTGGAACTCCATTAGGGAGATGCCCTTCACAGCTTACCACCTACCTATCCTCTAAATATTCCTAATCTTACTAAACATTTATCACTGGAGGTAGATCTAGAGTTTTGGAATGATCAAAATATCTGGAGCCAAGATTGTTGATTAAGGTGAATGATGCAGTTTAAAAAACTACTTGGCACCAGAAATAATATTTGAATATAAACATGGAGATAGATTTCTTCATTATTGACAAACCACTTCTGACAAGTGATTTTCCTCAGTTATGTACTGTTATAATTTTATAATACAGTTTAACTGCAAAGTAAAATTTTTAAATCTTTTAAATTTATAAGGAGAAGAAAATCTCCTCCCCCTAAGTCCAAGATCTGATAACAAGGGATGTTCCCCAGAAGTGTTTCGGTGTATTATGTCAACTTGTTTAAAAAGCAAAAAATATTACTTTAGACTTTTACAGAATCTTCCATTCCAGCCTCAACTGTACTGAATTATCTAGATTATCATCAGGCCCAAGGGGGACATTTATGACTTTGAGGGATGAGAAGGGACAATTCTTCACTCTAAATTCTTCCCTCTAAATGTGATAGTCTTCTTTGAGGAGCATAGCAGTTAAATTTTTTTCATTTTTTGCCTTTTGAAAAGTTTCCTTCCTCTGTAAGTTATTCTTTCTGCCTACCCTATGAGGTCACTGAGTCTCTGAGGACTCCCCTAACAGTCTAGAAGACAAGGATGTTGGAAGCTTCTCTTCATTTTTTCAGAAATGCTACTAATATAGAGCACTTCCAAGACCTTTTTTACACATTCTCTGTTTAGTCGTAGATCACAAGGGTTACAAAGCAATCTCTTCTGGTCCCAGAAAATAAATACATCTGATTTGGAAATTCTTACACCAGCGAGATTGTGCAAATATTATTTGTACCAGTTATTTCTTAAATAAATAAATAAAGCCCCAGAAAATCTTTTTAAAACACCATCTCAAACAATACAAATGGAAATGTGACACGCATGGCATGGCTGTCTGTTTTACTTGCACTGTTTTACTGTTTCATATTCTGAGCAAACAGAGAGGCTATTTTCCCCCAAGGGTTCAGGAGGGCATACGATTTCATTTCTTCAGAAAATTGTTTCTCAAGATTTCAATCTTCTTTGCTGGAGATGACAAAACATAATATCAGAAACACTTATGCTTTTTATCTACTATATTTTCAAAGCATAAATAAAAGCTCAGTATACATTTAAGACAGGTATATTCAAACTTAGGGATAAATCACATACATATCCAAATAGTTTTATCATGTAAGAACATTTTAATTTTAAAATGTTTAAGAGAAGATCAACAGAAAGACTAGCCCTTTAAAAATATTTTTCACTGTCACTCATTTTACTCAGACACCATTCAATTTTCTAAATCGTGGGGTTAATGAGACAAGTAATAAAAAAAATTAGATTTTTAGAAAAGGGGATTCAAATGGGCAGCATTCAACCAGAGCTTCTTTTTTCTTTTTCTAATAGTGGTGAGTACTATTTTGGTTTTCAACCTTATTACACTTCTATTCATAGAACATGGTATAAAAACTTTAAACCTTAAATGTGTTAAGAGTAGAACAAATCATGCATCTATGAAAAGATGAGCATAATGATTTTTTTCATAGTATGCCTAATCCACTTTGCAACTGGTCTCATAACATTAGCTGAAGAATTCTCATTAGCATTAATATTCTCTTAAGTTCTACTGTCTCATCATTTAAGCAATAATTTGAGGATCAATTCAATTTCATGGGAATTTCATTATTCCAGGCCAGCTTGGTGGCTTTGCAACGCAGAGACTTTTAGTCCTTAGGACACTGAAGTTTTCATGGTCCTTTGTGGATAATTGAACACATACTTGCCCAGCACACACAAGTCATTCAACTAATGTCATGGATGAAACCAGTTACTGAATAAAGGAATAGCTTCTGAAGTATGGATGCCCATCAGCTCCCCACTTTTCTTCTCTTGGCTCCCAGCTTGTTTGCAGACACTATAGCAAGTAGGTCATCCAGGAAAATACCAGGGTTGGTCCCTGAAGAGATTTAAGGAGATGTTTCAGCAATACTTGAGGCCCTATTTCATCTGGTTGCTGTCTTGGGTTAAGGCATTGCCTTTTAGAAGGTCTCTAAGATACCAATTTCTGATCTGGGAGACTTAACAGAAACTCCTTAGCAGAATGCCCTACATGTCATAGGTGTTCAATATATGTTTATTGAACTGAAATAGCATCCATGAGATCATGTCCATGTGACCTGCCCAGTTAGTAATGAGTGAAAGCATCACAGGACAGAGCAAGAGACCTGAGTGCAGTGGAGGGCTGGGGGTGGGGAGATGGAAATAAAAATCCCACTTGGAAAATACAGAATTATTTTGCAACTGAAAAGAGTTTAAAAAAGAGCTTCGTTGTGTGTTAAGCAAACTATATTCTTGACACCAAAAAATATTTTTACTGGTTGCAGGAAAGTTCAGAGAAGTCACCCTATAAGTTTAAGCAGTGTTTTATACGTTCTCATTCATTGGATGAGACCACACAATTGCACTCATCTCACACACTAGCAAAGTAATGCTCAAAATTCTCCAAGCTAGGCTTCAACAGTACGTAAAGCACGAACTTCCAGGTGTTCAAGCTAGATTTAGAAAAGGCAGAGGAACCAGACATCAAATTGCCAACATCTGTTGGATCATCGAAAAAGCGAGAGAGTTCCAGAAACACATTTACTGTTTNGGATGTCTGGCTTGAGTAAATAAGCAGCAACTTCATGCTTATAGTAAAACTGGTTAAATTAAGTGGTCTTTTTACCTTTAACAAATGTAGCTCTTTTGATGCAAATTAACTCTGGTGTCAAATTTAGAGATTAACTGAGTAAATATTTCTAGAGAGTTATCAGGAAAAATGATTAGCAGGAAGTACAACTACCAGAAAAAAAATGGGCGGTAGACAGTGGGAGAACCGAAATATACTTTGAACCAAGGAAAGGACCTGAGAGAGAGAGAGTTTCTGTCCTTCTGATTAACAAAAGGTAACCTGAATAATTTTTACTGTGATATTTATTGTTGATGGAATTTTTAAAAGTTAAAGTGTTAGTCGCTCAGTTTTGTCTGACTTGTTGCGATCCTGTAGACTGTAGCCCTCCAGGCTTCTCTGTCCATGGAATTCTCCAGGGAGGAATACTAGAGTGGGTAGCCATTCCCTTCTCCAGGGGATCTTCCCGACCCAGGGATCGAAACTGGATCTCCTGCATTGCAGGTAGATACATCATCTGAGCCATCAAATTATGAGGCATTTTGACTTATCCTCAAGTCTCATCCTCACCATGTGGGTTTAAATGTTTCAATTGGATTGAGTCAACTGAAGCTCATATGAGTATTTCCTAATAGAAGAGGTGGCAGATCCAGAGATCCACGTGGATGTGTTGTAAGTTGTATAAAGTTCTGTGCAGATTTCAACATTACTGTATATACACGAAGAGAAATAAAAAAACAAAAACATATAATCCAATGGTACAACTCCTACAATTAGTTTGGAATACTTACCCCTACCTAAGAGTAAATAGGATCATACTGGACTGATTTTACTGATTGTTTTAACACGGAGTAACTGATCAATATCAGAAGAGGCCCTGTTTTTCTTGCCTTCAGACTTTTTCCTATTTTACTCATTTAAATTAACCCCAGTGTTGTGCTGTCACTCCAGTGCATGGAGTGGGGATGGTTTATTTGTCCTGAGAAAGAAAATAAGTGGTCACTGATGCTACTTGATAGCATCTCTGTGTGGATGGTGGGGATAACGATCTGACAGATGGATGTGAACAAGTGTTCCTTAATTGTCCGTCCAGGTGGTACTCTCTGAATGGTCCCAGATTTTGTGTTTTTGATCACCTAAACCATGTAAATTGAAAATGTCACAAGAGAGGAATTGGACAGCAGTCAGTTGTTAATATGCTGACTCCACAGTTTCAATATCTATCCATACTTGAAAAGAGGAAAGAAGGAGAATAGAGAAACAGAGATTTCTTATAAGCTAATGAGAGTAACAGGGCTTCCCTGGTGGCTCAGTGGTCATGAATCTGCCTGCCAGTGCAGGAGATAAGGGTTCGATCCCTGGGTCAGAAAGATCCCCTGGAGAAGGAAATGGCAACCCACTCCAGTATTCTTGCCTAGGAAACCCCATGGACCACTCCACGGGAAATTTCTTCATTGGAAATCCCCTGGAGTCTGGAGGGCTACAGTCCATGGTGTAAGAGAGTCGGATATGACTGAGCAACTAAACAACAAAACAGATGAAATAGATGTAGATGACAATAAACATATATACTGGTAGGCAGGAGACCAAAGGGTTTCCCAGATGGTGCTAGTGGTAAAGATCTCCTGCCAATGCAGGAGATGCAAGAGACGCAGTTTCAATCCCTGGGTCGGGAAGATGCCCTGGAGTAGGAAACGGCACCCCTGTGCCATTCAGTATTCTTGCCTGGAAAATTCCATGGCAGAGGAACCTGGCAGCTACAGTCCATGGGGCCGCAAAGAGTCAGACACAACTGAGAGATATTCTCATTCTAGGGCGTTGCCTAGTACCTTACGTGGAAGAGGAATTTTTCATAGAGAAAAATTGATCTTGAAATTCCAACATAACAAGGGAGATTAGTCAAATAAAAAGACAGTTAGTCAAGTCATCCATCAGGGGTACCCTTGCTTTGGGAAAACAAATGTCCAAGGTCTATTAGGATTTTAGATCCAGGAAGGATCACTTCATTTATAGCCCTTTGAAGATACACTCGTAGAAACCAGCATTTCCACTCTTTGAGATTATTCAGCTAATGCATGGCCAACAGGCTATGCTCTAATCTGTTGCTTTTTCACCAAAAGAATTTATCCAGGCCTTTTCCTTTAGGCTCTTCTTGATGCTAAGCAGTTCACTCTTTTAATCTGCTTATTCAGCACAAAATATGAAACACAAAATAAAAGCAGTGGTTGACTTTCCATAACTGCTTTTTGTTTTACCTCGTTGGCCCCTTTTTGCCCTATTTGAATAGTACTGCATCTCCTTCACATTTTAGTTTTAATGAGGTTATTTACCTTGCATACCCAATGAGATTATACCTAATATAATAAATTCTCTTCTCTGAGATGTGTCTAAGAGGGCAGCCTATTTAACTATTAAA